CTAATAACTGACAACAATGTTGAGACTCTTACCAGTTGTTCTTGCTTGTTTACGCCTGTGGCGACCTCGTATCTTGTCCACGCTTTCTTCCACGCGTTCCAGTTGGAGGCTAATTTGTCGTCCATCACAAGTGGCTTGGTTGGGGGCACGTTTGCAGGCGGCATGTAGAGTGGAGAGGTGGGTAATATTTCTTGAGCTGGCGTCACTTCTTCATGAGCGAGCGATGGTTCTGATGACAACGTAGTTGGCATCGTGGTTCAGTTTTGTCTGACACCATGTAACGTATGTCGTTCGAATTAGCGACGTAAGGAGAGAGAGACGCATCAACTAGTCAACTCCAGTTTTAATAATGAATCTTCGAACATTTACAAGAGAATGAATGAAGTATTGTTCTAATCACGCAACAGCCGATTGTAAACTAAGGCGATGATTCAACTACTATTATTAGATTACATCACGCGAGTCCCTGTGTTGATTTACTGTCAAGTCCGATATTAAAATGTCATAGATCGAATATCGTGACATCTGAACGCGTTGGAATGCCTCTAGGGACCATTAACTTAATGCCCGGCGTCAGATAAAGGCTTTTAATGGGCCTTTGAACGAGTTTTATTGTTTTAAATTGCCAAGTAGTAAAATGAGTTGATATTTTTGCTAAACCGGTTTTCAAAAATCCAGGTATAAATTGCACAGAAATCACAAGGGAGCAACTCTAAATTCGTTAAAAATCAGTGAAATGTCTCTCACAATTCTCTCATACATACATGTTCTTTGTCGGCGAGCTCATCAGGTAAAAAAAAACACTTTTCTAGGTAAAATTATCCTCATATTCTTTGCATGTGCTCTAAGGCATCGTAGTGTGATGATAGGCTACTATGTGACAATGAACTATCAGGCACAACCCAGAACTATCGCCTGAAAAGTGTTTGCAACTTTAAATTGACTCGGTTCTACTTCATTTTGCTTCGCAAACAACATAATTGCACATCAGGCACTTATTCCATTGAGATAACTATATAACACCAATAATTAAGTCTTGTGTTTCTATCCACACATTTTGCATAGTATCTGTTCTCAATTCATCCCGTAAATGAAAGTTGCGATCAGATCTTGTATACAATGCTGCTCCGCCACCAGACGAGTAGGTACGATTATCATTTATAAAGACGTAACCTGGGATTGTAAAACAATCTAAATAACTTTGAGATGAGAGCCAGGTCTCCGAACATCCAATAAAATCAAAAGTTAAAGGAGTAGAATCTAATAAGTTGCATAAATCAGCAAAGTGTTGATTTAAACTTCTGATATTTAAATGTAACGCAGAAAAGTATGGCTTGACAACGGGAAATAATTCATTCAATTCATTAATAGTAAAAATCCCGTGGTCATTAAAAGATTGACAATTCAAGCCAGGATCATTTTCGATTCGCACAAAAATTTATCACAAATGATAGATACAAGTAATATTGAAAGGCTGGTCACTTTTATATAGAACCCCAACGAGGCTTCTTTCCCTCATCATACGCTTGTTTCATTATTTCCTTTTGTCGGTCCTCCCAGATTAAATCGTCAGATATTCTCACATCATAGTCCGTGGGCCACAAAGTGAAACCCTCCCGCCCCTCGGGGATTTTTGCAGACATTTATCATTTCAAATCTTCACCCAAGGGTATTTGAAAAATGCATGTTTGCACTTGATTGGTTGGTGGGTGTGGCTGTGCAGCAACCTTCTTTTTCTCAGCAAAGAGTCACAGGTTACCCACACGAAGAGGTGAGTTAACCACTTCTGAAACATCATTACCGACAAAAATAACACTCAGAGTTATTTAAGGTAAAGTTTTTTTAATCTCATATGTAAGTTAAAGTTAAGTTCCAAAAACTACTACTGCGCGTGTCGCAAGTTTAATTTACCCTTTTCTTGGATACGTAAATAACACCTCTTACGACAAACTCTTTAAAAAAACTCTTTAAAATGTCTAACCTACGTGAAATATTGGTAGTTACTGGCCAATGAGAATGTATTAGCTACTAAATGATGACTAATCCCTAGTTTGCTGCTTATGCGATATTTTGCATAATAACCCTGATTGCTATAATCCTGATTATTACAAAACTGATAAACTTAAGTCAAAATTAGTGGAGCGATTTGGAAGCTCAATCCAGTTCTGGAAGCCAAATTATAAAAGTGAGCTCGTGTATTCATCACATGTTAGCAAAGGCGAAGCGATTGAAGTTGCATTTGAAGCAGCAGCCTCTGAAACCAAGAGACTTCAAGAAGCGGCATCTATTTTACGAAGGGCCGTTCAGGTTGCGTACGCTGAGGCTGAGGCTGTTACGAATGGGAAGTGGGCGCTGCCCAGGCATCTACTTCTTAGAATGACATTGCGACACTTGACTGGCAGTGCTGAAGTCACAACACTGGGTTAATCGATTTGGTCATTGTGCTTCCTACTCACGAGTTATAGAGCTAGAAACAGCTATATGTAAAGCTATAGATGAGCGATAAGGTCTTATCCCATCGACTATCAGCCCAAACAGAAACTTAGTTACCCACCTGTGCTAGGACAACTTCCACTTGACGGAAGAAACACCATCAGGTGCAGGTACAACACATACTGCTCATGGCATTATCATCCAGGAAGTTTCAACTGCCAAAGAAAACGTTTCAGAATCCCCAGAAGAATTCGATCAGGCTAGAACAAAGAGCCGATCTGCGAAATGCACTTCACAAAACATTGAGCTCTACTATGCAAAAAACAAGGTCGATCCAAATATAACAGTCTCTAAGACAGAAGCAGCTTGCACTCTGACACTCTGGTTTTTGTGTCGTTCAGGGGTCCTGCGTCACGCTGCTCAGGTTGTCCCTCCATGGGCAGGGTGGGTGTGGTTGACAGAAACAAGCAAGAATTCATCTGTACAGTAATCTGCTGTTGACTATATGGCTCCAGTCTTTGCACCTGTCACCAAAAAAGCGACCATACAGCATATCTTAAAGCTATCACAACAGGCGTCACTGGAAGTACAGCAATACAAGGTGGTAACGTTCGATCTCGCTGTTGCCAAGAAAGCCTATTCTCTTGTGTGGCAGAGTCCAGAAGAATTCAGCGATGTAATTGCACGTATGGGTAGTTTTCATTTTACCTGCGCAGTCATGGGTGCCCTTGGAAGAAAATGAGATGTAGTGGTTTACAAGAAGTCCTCATCGAATCAAAGATCTGTGCAGGTGGATCGATAGAGCAAGGTTTGACAGGCAAACATTATAACCGCGCTCTTCGTGTGCACAAGGTTGTCTACGAAGCTTTGGAACGAATTCTTCGTCAGGTCTACGAATCGTTGCATGGCTGTCTTTTTGATGAGCAAGGGGTTACAACATTAGACCATCTAGCGAAGAACCCGTGCAAAGATAACCTCTTAGCATGTTTAGCAAGTGAAAGCTGTAACAAGTCCATAGACCGTCATAATGAATTCAAAGAAACCGTTCGGCGGGGCGCGCTTGGCAAGACAGCTCAGTATTGGTTGAGCTACATGGAAAAGGTAGGCCTGATTCTACAGTTCCAGCGAGCGACTAAGGAGAATTGCCTGACGCTTCACCTAGCAAGCCTCCAAAGAATGCGCAGCCTGTTTTTCATCTTCGATCACCCAAACTATGCAAGATACTCTGCATTCTACTTGTTGAATATGTTGAACTTGGAAAAAATGCATCCAGGAGCAGAGGATCTGTTGAAGAATAATGGCTTTAGTGTTAACAGATCAGATGTTCCATCATTTAGAAATGCCGTTGACATAACCTTTGAGCAAACAATTCAGAAACGGTCCAGATAAGAACGATAGCAACAACGGCAACGAACATGTTGGAATGCAAAAAAAAGTGCTAACTTTTCTATTGTCTGTACTTACTTCTGATTGGCTTAAACAGCAAAAGTTAGCAAAACTTCATAAAGCGGTACATATATTCATCCTTAATTTCCAACCATCTTCCACAAAACAAAATGTGGTCTCAGTTTGAATAACAAAGAAATCCTATGTGGGGAACATGTAGAATTGTAAACTTTTCTTGACTATTGTTTTCAACTCTTGTGATTGGTCAAAATCTTTTAACACAAAAAAACACCCTTTGAAAGTGGAGTGTAAATGCATTTTATTGCGTAAACGGCCTTCTAGTTGGTTTATGCATTCTCTGTGTAAAAATGAGAACATTCCTACGTGGGGAAAGCACTGTTGCCGCATAACACAAGAAATTGCTATCCACCTTACCCGGATCATTACTTAACTGTCATGCGAAATCTCAGAGCGGAATCGTTGGTTTCAGCCAGAACCGTTCCGCCTACTACAGATGGTGCCGCACTAGACATGCAAGAGCAGGCTATCTGCAACCAACCAAAGAGATAGCTAATATCGACACTCTGGAGTCTACCTCGCACAAGGAGGTAAGATCTTCGCAGATATTGAAGAGTGAGCAAGACACGTGTTGCGTCGTGGAAGCGATAAGTAATTTTATTAATCCTTTCACGATTGAAGATAAGGACACGCTGTATTATCTGTTATCCGGTGCTCCCGTGCCCTCGAATGTGGCGAAAGACATTCTAATGTCTGATGAAATTGTCAAGAAAGCCCACAAGCAGTTCGTTCAGGACAGGCTTATAGACAAAACCGTCAGCTTTCACGCGTCAGTGAAAAAGCAAAATCTAAAAACGTTTGCAAATCAAGCCAAAATTTCACTAGTCCAAGGAAAGGCCAGAAAGAACATAGAAATAACTGCAGAAAGAAACGTTTTTGGGCAACTTGTTATACTGGCACTGCAGCATGAGCTTAGCCTAGAACGCGTACTAAGTTACCCACTTGGTCCTGTTCGTTGGGCTCTGGCAACTTCAGATGGAGCAATGATAAAAACTGACAAAGCTAAACTGATGCATTGCCTGTAGAACAAATCGCACCTGGCCCAGAGACCCACTGTGGAATTTCAATGCTACATAGTAGACGGAAATGCTTTGCTGCAAGCGATGGTTTCTCTTCCGAGCACGTTCGGGGAGCTAGCTGAGTATGTTTTTCAGGAACTACCTAGAGGACAACGCGTTGACTTTGTAACAGACTCATATCATTCCCGTTCGATAAAAGGATTGGAACGATCAAGACGAGGTTCTTTACAAGCACATCTAGTGAAAAGACCTTCTACTTAAGTTCCTCGCGAGTCGAAAAAGTTATTGTGTAATGAAGAAAACAAAAGGCGCTTGTGCAGCTTCCTCTTAGAGGAGTGGAAAAAGGGAAAATATGCTCCGAAGCTGCAGGGAAAGCATTTAGTTTTCGTTGAGAGGAAATGCATCAGCTTAAAAAGTATCGATGGAAAGAATGTAGTTACAGAGGAAGTTGAGAAGTTGTGCTCTTCACACGAGGAGGCCGATACCAGAATGATCTTGCATTGTAATGATGTTGCTGCAAATTCGGGAGAATGCTCGGTTAGACTAGTGGGATCCCCTGATACCGACGTGTTCATTTTACTCCTAAGATTTGTACGTCATATAAACCAGACAGTGCTGTTTGACACTGGAACGGGTGACAAGCGCCGACTTGTAAATGTTCAAGCTGTTGCTAAAGATCTCGGAGATGAGATTAACCTGGCTCTTGTAGATCTGCACGCATTTACTTTTTGCGATACGAACAGTGCTTTTGTGAGAAGAGGGAAAGTGAAGCCGCTCACACTCCTCAAAAAACATCCTGAGTTTCTTTCATGCTCTAGGATCGAGAGTTGGCATAAAAGACAGAGTATTTAAAGGTCTTGAAAAGTTCACTTGTCTGATGTACGGAAGCAAGTTGAGTGACATCAACTCTCTCAGATACAAAAAATTTATTGAGAGATTCAATGCAAAGCCAGGAGAGGCACTGACAAGCTACAACGGTGTTGGTCTGAAAATGCGTGTGAGAAGAGCAAATTATCAAGCGCTCATATGGAAGAAAGCTGATCAGGCAACAGCAAGTATCCCGGGGCCAGACGGGCATGGCTGGAACACTAACGTCGAAGGTGAGCTTGAAATCTGCTGGACGAACGGCAATCTCATGCCTCAGGAACTCGCCGACATCATAACCGACCCTTTGAATCCATCCTCTGAGGATGAAGAAGATGTTACTGTCGATTCCGAAGATATTAGCTGTGTTGTTTTTGAAAATGATTTTTGATAAACTTGTTCAAAGAGAAAATATGGCTCTACAGGGGACTTTTCGTGCACTGAACATGAAACCTGAAACAAGGTGAGGGACATCACTGCCCAGTTACGCTTAAATGTAACACACATCTGCTAAATTAATGTGGGGGATTAAATTTGCAAAAGGTTTATTCACAAAGTTTTTTACAGTTGTAAAAGTGCTCCATGGCTATTGTCCACTATTTTACATATATTCCTTTTTACCTTGTGACATGCGCAGTAGTAGTTTTTGGAACTTAAAAGTAAAGTAGATAATTTTAACTTGCATATGAGATTAAAAATACTTTAATTTACCTTAAATAACTTTGAGTGTTATTTTTATCGGTAATGGTGTTTCAGAAGAGGTTAACTCACCTCTTGGTGTGGGTAACCTGTGACTCTTTGCTGAGGAAAAAAATTTTGCTGCACAACCACACCCACCAACCAATCAAGTGCAAACATGCATTTTTCAAATACCCTTGGGTGAAGCTTTGAAATGATAAATGTCTGCAAAAGTCCCCGAGGGGTGGGGGGAGGGTTTCATTTTCTGGCCCACGGACTATCATTCTTTAGACTTCTCTTTTTCTGGATTACCTTAAGACGTTCCAGTCGATAGATAAACTTGGCAATGACAGGTCTCGGGTCATTTGAAGCACTAGTCCTGGGTCCCCCAATCCTATGTCCGTTCTCTATCACGGGTTTGATGCATGTCCAAATCATTAGATAATATGGTCTTTTTTTCAATTGTTCAGTACAGTTCTCATTTGAGTCCTGGGGAATGTTGTAAAATCGTAGGTTAAGATCTCTTGAGTAACGTTCCAGTGATAGAAGCCTTTCGTACGCTTGGTTGATATTAGTAGCGAGCTTGCTGACCTCATCCTCCAATTTGTCAACTCCGGTCATGGCCACGTGGACTTCGTCGTTTAGAGTATCGAACTTTACGTTAAGCGACTCTGTAGTTATTTCGAGTTTTTGTTCGAGAGATTTCAAGTCTTCTTTGAATTTTGCTTGATTGTTCTTTATGGTTTCGACATCCTGTCGAATCGTTTCCAGGTGGTCCTTTACATGAGGGTCTCAATGAGGTGGTGGCTTTTACGGTTATCGGCTAAAATTTTGGCTCTTTTACGGCTATCGGTTAATCTTTTTCAGTTACAGTTAACAAAAAAGTTACAAATTAATTTCTTTTCTTTAAAAGAGTTAAATATTAATAAACCTCTATTTTTGTATCTTCAAAGCAAAATAACGGTCTTAAGACAATTTCGCGATAAAATGAAGTTATTCTTTTGAAAAATTTTAACATTTGATAGATCATGCAATCTTTAAAGTATTCCATTTCTAATATTATTCTACGCATAGAAATATCAACAGTCAATTTAAAAATAATATTTGTGGAAAAGCAAAAGCAGACACGCGGACGCCCAGCTCAAGGCAGGGGGGAGGGGGAGACATTCGTTTATAACAGAAATGGCCGTTTTCCCACTAGACATGCTAGAGACGGATTATTCGTGTGAGACGGGTTATCCGTTTGATAATTCGCGTCAGATAGGTAATACGTCTTAATTTGAAACGGAAAGAGTTTTAATTTTGAATGAACAATCCGCCTGACTTTATCAGTCAATTTTGACGGACAGTTTGAAGATGGATTATCCGTTTCAGATAGCCTGTGTACAGCCGCCCCCTCCTCATTCTCTCTTGATGATGACGAAGGATTGTACAGAAAGACTGTCTGCCGTTGCCTTGTCCATATGCCTCATTATTCCGCGCGGCTAATGCGTTTCCGGTCACGTGGTCCGAGCGAGTTTTTTTCTCAGATACGCCACCGAAATGCCTTCAACGGGATTGCGTGGGAAGACGCCGAACATTGACTAGGCATGGCAATGTCTACCTTAGTGTCAGAGAAAAACAGGGGATTGTTGTTTATCGGCAAACGTGTTTCACAAAAAGTGACATCTCTGGGTGTTGTTTCACTAGTATTTCGAGGGCACGACCTCCTGAAAATCGCAATTTTTGATCCCCAGCAAGAAGCCAGATTTTTGCTGTGGAAAAAATCAGTTCTCCAAGAGAGCGGCGGAAATGGAGTCTAAGTCTAGGTCACAACTTAAAGGCGCTTGGTCTAACGTGCGTACGGAGTCAAAGTAGCCGGGAAATAAATAACGCAATCATAAGTGAGTTTAGCACCTTCCTTAAAATTAACAAATCTTTGGAACAATTTCATATACGATTAACTCTTTTTTACCCTATTTACGGCTAATGGTTAAAATTTTTCAACTTTTACGGCTATCGACTAAATTTTTGGCCGTTTTACGCCTATCGGTTAACCCCATTAAGACCCTCTTACATACGATTCAACACTATCGTCATTCACGTCTTGTTTCTTTCCTTTCTTTGACATATTCAGTTATTCACAAATACTTAGTTATTCACGAATACTTAGTTTTAACAGGCTACAAACACAACGAGAAACCAAAAATCAAACCAAAGAAAAGTAGCAAACAACACAAAGCTGCGGAGCTGCAAAAGACGCGGCCATCATCATCACTTACCGCTGATCGCTGAGCTGCATCTCGAATGGTAAGCCTGAGTGATTATTGTATTTGATGTTCGTTTTTTTTTTCTAATTTCATGAAGTGGGGCATAGTTTTATGCGGCTAGTTTATGGTCGTTTTAAGATTTGAGACCTAGTACAGTCAGGTTTTATATAAGCTTACAGAACTTTAAAAAGCCTTTAGACATTGTCTCAACACAAATAGAAAGAAAACGTTCCGAAGGATATTTAGTTATAATTTTGGCTGTAAAAAGAAAGCCTTGAGCGATTTTCTTGCCTCGAGTTCATCTTGAAAAAAAGCAAACATCGGGAAGCCGGCTTCAAACATAAACTTAAGCTTTAAGCTTTAAAAGACTCAGGACTTTTAGAGACACTTTAATACTTTTCTTCGTGAATGGAAATTGTTGTCTTTGTAAATGTTTCACCGAATTATATTTCTTTTACAGATTGTTAGTAGTCTCTCTTGCAAATTTAATCGCTGTGCCGGTTGTTTTCAGTCGTACATGAACATCGCTTGCAGGAATACTTAAAATGCCGCGCGTATCAAGCGCTTTTAAAGATTACACATAGTTATAAAACCATTAAATAAAAAATAAACATAATAAATTCTTTATTATGTTAAAGCGTAACTCTATTAATGTTCATTCACACATTGACAGCTCGCACTGCAAATTTGGCGAAAAAGTGAGAACCGGCTAGCCATAAAGGTGAATATGAAAATTTTTTGAACGTGTTCGCTAAAAGCCCATTATTATCTGCATACCACATAGAAGCAGATTGTTGCGACTGAACAGTCCCGACATTATAGGATTCTCTTGATGAAAATGTTTTATAATGGGGTCAATTTTTTAATTTGTTGTGCAAAGAAGGCGCGTTCGACGATCGTCCTGAATATTGATTGCGTGAAATTTGCCTTGCAAAACTGTGAAAAACTGCATTCTGTCCAAGGTCTGTATGATAAAAAACAGCGCCTCGTAGTACTGTTTACCTCGGATGTGATGTATAACTGAAAAATGTAAAAGGCTGCTTTACACGCCACCAGATTTGTTGGCAAGATTTTGTAAAGTAAACTTGTGGAACACAAAAAAATTCGGCCTGATTTTTTATTTTGGCCTGCCTAATGCAACCTATAATTATTACAACGCGTAAATTAGGTGCCATCGAGGACTATCGTGTCTTCTAACCGGCCCTTATAGCATAAAATTAAATTTCGGTGCTGTCCAATTAACCTTATAAAATAAAGGTGTAGGTGGGCGACTGTTATTTTGTTTGGGAAGAATTTTTTTTCCAGGCCTAATCTATTGTGATCAAGATCCATTATGCTCTTGGCTGTGGTCGAAGAGGATTGTTATTTTTCTGGTGAACATATGGGCTATTTAAAACTCGATGTAAGATTTGTTTCACTCTTGGACAGTTTGCAAATTATTTTTCTCTAAAATCAGTTAGCCTTTCTCTCAAAAGTCACATGAATGTGCGCCAAAGTTAACTGATTTGTGGACTACAACTGTTTTGTTTAAGTTATAAATTTATTAATGGGAGCTTCGCTTTTAGCCCTGGCTAAATCTATTAATTAGTTTGTGAAGTACTATTTATGGAGCATATTTGAACCAATATTCCAAAACCACTGTGATAAGAAAAGAAAGAGACAAGCAAATCAGCAAGGCTGACATTACTAAAAAAGGCAGTAGCTTCAGACAGTTAATCCATCCACTTCAGAAAAATAACTCTGGTTAATGTCCTGGCTAAGATCTTTTAGCCTGCGAGGAGAGTCACTTGTGCGTGTTCGGGAAAAATGTGCTGGCGGCGGAGCCACCAACGCGCGAGAGACTTCAACTCCCCCACCCCCCATTTCTGGAAAATTCAGACCCCTCGAAATAATAAGTAGACAAGAGTGAAATACATTTTGACCATTTAATACAGTGAAATGTCAAACAATCACCCTTTCTGCTGTCTTCGCATAATATAATCAGGGGCACCCAATGGATCTGTTCCTCAAAATATCTGTTCTTCAGGCACATTTTTGCTGGCTGGGAGATGTGAAAGAAATAATAGTCCTTGGAAGGAAAGTGTTGCTGGGAAAAAGATAATTCAGGGTGTCAGAGGGGATTTAAAATCTAGAATAGCTGCTACGGGTTACTTGTATGAGTTACTTACCACTCAAGATCTGAATTGTGCCCTATGAAACTTCCCAGTAAGTCAGGTTGCAGGTTGTAAGGTTGCTGGCTGGGAACTCTTCCATCAGTCTTGCTGGGAGTGAGGAACAGATAATTTTTTTCCAGCAATCTTCCAAAATGCTTAAAATAGTCTCAGAAAACTTTATTCACGCTTTGTTGTTGTTTTTAGGTCTTTTTCTCAAAATTTCCCGTTGGGTGCCCCTGTATAATATCATATCAACTTCTTGAAGCCGCCCATACCCCTGTCCCTTCCCCCTACACATTTTAAAAGGAATCAGCTTCTGGATTCGTGACCTTTCCGAATTTCTTATTGTTTAAACACACAAGTCGTGCGGTTCGGCGAAATGATTAAAAAGCCTTGCAAAATCAATATCAGAGGTTTCCGTATAAGGAATCATGCAATTTCGCATTCGGAGTCAAAATAATCATTCGATTCATTACAAAATGGCAAATTATAGGAGAAAAAAAAGAGAGAACGAAATAGGAGTATTACCCGTCTTGCAGGGCTATCGATGCTAAAAAGGTTTCTATAGGCATTTTTAATGAAACACATACAAACATATAGGGCAGTTTTTGATGGGAAATGACCCTTACCGGATATCGATATTGAACTTTTAATTTAGCAAAAATATAGTTAGATCCGACTACAATATTTCCTTGAATTGGTCGTATGTAGAATAAAAAAGATCAGCCCGGCACGTAAGTAGAATGAATCTCTACACACTATAAATTATCTTTAGTTTTTAGGGTTAATTTTAACGTCTTAGTTCTTTAATTAGAGTGATGACAACCAAATATCGACTGCAATATATTTTAAAAAATTATCAGCTCATTCAGAACCTTCATGAATAACCAGCTGTACCTACATAACATGTATGCTAAGTTTTAAAGCTGGATGAATAATACGGCGAATTTAAAATCATTAGCAACAGTCGAATATTTGTTAATATTATAATTGTAGTGACTTTTGTCAATATTTATTGTATTGTATTGCCATGCTATTGCGTTTTATCAGAAGGCCTCGAATATCCACAGAGCTTTATAGATATCATATTATCTTTTCAATAATATGTTCTCAACTGTCAAACAATTTTCTAAGACAAAAATACGGAAAAAAAGAAATAAAAATAAAAAAAAGACGTTGAGAGCCAAATCCTTTATACATGACGCAATCTCTTAAGCAC